ATTTTCAATGGGTGGAAACCACGTGGCCATTTCAGCTTACTGCAACTTGAATGATTTTTTTCCAGAAATTTGACATTTTTTCTGAATATTGTACAACTTCTTGAAGTTGGAATTTTTGTTAATTTATGGAACTACCCTTGGTCATCCTCCTCATCACATTTCTAAAAATTATTATAATTTAATAAATTACTACTTTTTATTCTTTCATCTCAAATCAATATGCTACTCACTCAATTTCAATTTGTTTATATTACATTTTTTTTAAGTCTATTTCTTAAGACATGTCTTTTTTTCTTTTTAGTAATTCTTTAATTTTAACTTTTTATGTGACATTTTAATACCACAAAATTAATGAGTATTTTATTAATTCAATATATTTTTGATTTAAGACTATAAAATTAAAATGTCTTCTTTACTCTTTTTAAAAAAAATTATGTCAAGTGAAAATAGAACAAACAAATAAAAATAAAAAAGTCTTGTTTTTATCACACTAATTTCATTGTAAATTTATATTTATTGTACTAGAGAAAAAGAGTTTTATACTCAAGTTAGTGATATTATGAATTGAAGTGAAGGAGTAGCAACTCACATAAAATATATATAATATTTAATGTTATTTTTTGAGATAAACTCTTATGATAAGAGTGACCGCTGACAACCATTTGAAGACAAACTTGGGCCCACATTTTTAGACGGTACACAAGATTTTTTCAACTTTTTCAATGGGTAAAAACCACGTGGCCATTTCAGCTTACTGTAACTTGAATGATTTTTTTCAGAAATTTGACATTTTTTCTGCATATTGTACAACTTCTTGAAACTGGATTTTTTGTTAATTTACGGAACTACCCTTGATCGTCCTCCTCATCACATTTCTATATAATAGAAATATATATATATATATATATATATATATATATAGTAATAAAAAGACATCAGAACATATTTTTTCTCTATATTTGATAATTGCAATTATTTTTTCTGATCAAATCATACTTGAACTTGATCAGAATAGCCTTAAACTATTATTTATATGGAAATTTTGGTAAATAGGGTGTTTTGAAGGAAAAGGTGCAATCATGCCATGCATGTCACACACCACAATGAAAACTAAGCGTCGAAGAAAAATAATATATGTAGCTCAATTAGGGACAATAATATAAGCACGAGGATCTCAATAAAATTAGTGACCTAAAATAAAATTATAATAAGATGTCTCAAATATATTCAAATACACACATAAAATATATATTTTGGAATTGTTTTTGCCTTTAGTTAACCTCACGTAGTAATATAAAATCAAGAAATAATTATAATAAGTAAGATGTTAGTCATGTGTATGTTTGTTGTAGAAACTTAATTTATTAATATAAAAATTTGAGTTATTTAATTCAAAGTTATATTTTTTTTGTGTAAAAAGTAGATAATTTCTTTCTTTATTTTTTATATAAAAATTTGAACCTTTTTATTTTGAAGTAAAAGTAAAATCTTAAAATTCAACTTTAATTATTTTTTTAAGGTCTAAAGCAAAGGGTTCTCTCCCTTTTTAAAAATTTAAAAAAATGCCTAGAGAGTGGATTAAACTCCGGACATAAAAACACAATTGTAATTAGGAACATTGAGCACCCACATATCATCAGTTGATCACTGCACCAATTCAATACTTATTACTTGAATGCTCACTAGTTAATTTAATATCATTTTCTGAAATTTCTATATAAATAAATGTACATAATTTTATATGAGATTAATAGATGCTTGAGCACCTGAAAGACTCAACATGGGTCCGCGGATCTACTAACTCCACCTTTGTGTCATTTTTTATGAAGGCTAATGACTTTAAACTAGTGATGAAAGAAATTAATAATATCTTACCTCTTGCTTAAGCCAACGAATTGAAATAATATGTATAACTTACATAAATTTCATAGTGTAAAGAGTAAATTACATCATAACCCTATTTTATTTTTTCTAATTACAATAGTCCTTTAAAATTTGTACCTTCCGGATACATAAGTCACCATCCGGATACATTAATTCTAATACAAGAAAAATCTTTCTGTTGCGCTAAAAAAGGAATAAAATATGAAAATTAATTAAATCCCATAATTACGCTTATGTTTCTTCTTACTCTCAATCATACAGAGGCAAATCCTAATAGAACAAAGAAATTCAAAATTCCAAATTGTTCCCCCGTTCAACGAAGAACCTTTCAGATTTGATTCAAAAACTTTTGTCGAAATTTTGGGTAAGCGAGGTGAGTTATGAAGGATAAAAAAGTGATGGAATTGTTGTTGGACAAACGATATCCTTTTGAATCTTCAAGTTCATCGAAGATTCTTTCAATTTTGATTCAAGATTCTTGTTTCTCCCAGTTCAGCGAAGATCCTTTCAATTTTGATTCAAAATTATTGAAAAAATTGAGATTCAAAATTCTTCTTCTAGTTTATTGAAGATCCTTTCAATTTTGATTCAAAATTGTCGAAAAATTTGAGAAGATACATCATGAATATCTTTGCTACTTAACATTTTACTATTTATGTATCTCGTCTAAATTGAGAAGTATTGTATTTATACTAGATACATTAAATAAGTAATTGTTGCCCATAAGATGTTAGATTTGAGATCGATACATTACTGTGTGGTAGTTGCTATGTAATTGATACATTTAGTATAAATTCGAATTTACGTATCATATCTAAAAAAATGAGTGCATGATACATTACTATTTATGTATCTCATTTAAATTGATAAGTATTGTATTGTTTGCCTTGAAAGATTGTATAACTTACATAATGTATCATTTTGTAGTTGATAATAATGTATCTAATACAATAAGATTGTGAAAGAAGGATGTATGTAAACTGAAATAAAGTGTATCTATAAATGTATCACAATAAATAAGAATTATTAGACTGTATGAAATTTTGGTGAAATTGAAACTAATATTATTATGAGACAATGGGAAGATTAAATAATAATACAAGAATCCTAATTAGTTTCAATGAATAATTAGTTGTTAGAGTCTATAACCACTTCAAATTATGAAAAATTTACAAATATTATATTAATTATTACCAAATAATAACTACTACTGTTACTTCTTTTTTTCTTTCTAATTTACGTTTTAGTGTTGAAAATTTGAAGTTCACTTATTTTATTTTATTATAAATTTTGGAGTATTTTTAAAAATAGGTAAAAGACTCATAAATATCCTTTTAAAACTTTTTGTCTAAAAATATCCTTAACCTACAAAAACATTCCATATTTTTTGCCATCTGGCGGGACCCATTCAGAGGTATATTAGTAAATATGAATTCCCTTTATACAATTTTGTTTATATACAATTACTATTTTTTAGCTTGTTTATACAAATTCAATTTGTTGTTTGTATATTTTCCACAGTTATACATAACAAGACATGTTTGTATAATCTCTTTACGTATATATGTAGTAATTTTGTTTATATACAATTATTATGTTTTAGTTCGTATACAGCTCAATATACAGATTACCGAAATATATAGATCAAGACATAACATGTTTTTATGTATAAGTATATCGAAACATACAAATACAAATTTTTATGTATATGTACACCAAAACATACAGATTAATAGCCATAACAAACATAAAGTTTGCTATGGAGTGCAATTATACAAACTATAGCTATGACATACAAATATGATTTTTATGTTTGCTAAACCTAAAGTTTACTCTAATAATAATTGAAAATAAGTCACAACATCATAATTAATTGATATTTAGCTATTTTTTTTCATGAGAAAATAATACTTAGACAAAAATACACCTAACTTGAGGAAAATAGAAGGGACTCACTAAAATATTATCTAAGATAATATTTTAGTGTGAAAAACGGCTAAATTTTGTTTAATCACGAAACTATGACTAATTGACTATTATCTATTGGCCAAGGTATAACTAGTTATTTGTGATTTCCTTTTTTAGTTGCTTTGTCCAATTAGCTCAGATTCAACGAGATATAGATATGTGGTAATATTTTTTTGCGAAATGTGGGTAGAACCATTCATAATTCCTCTGAGGTGAATTAAGGGAAAATGGAGCTTCCTCATCTGACTTCAATTCTCCATTTTGAAAAAGCTTAGAATATGTAAGGAAGGAATGGTAAATTTGCATGTTGTACTTAGAATAGCATGCCAAACCATTGTTAAATGTATCTTTTTCTTATTTCGTGAAGAACATTAGCTTTGATAAAAAAATATCTAAACTCGTCACCTAATGATCTGGATCGGGAAGGTGTTTGTGATGAAGTATTTTGTAGCTGACTCGTTAAGTTCAGAGATAATACAAGATTCATAAACATCAATAACAAAAATATTTAAAAACTAGATTAGAAGATGTCTTAATCATTTTTTACCATTATATCAGAAGAAATACATACAAAAATTTCAAACTAATTAAGATATACCATATCTAGTAATTAACTCGACACATTACCTACAAACAATTATTGAGTTAAAATATTACACCACTGCAGATTTTTAAAGTTTTATCTGATTTATTATCTGAACATAGTATTAAAAAGTTGATTTGTTTTTATATTATATTACTAAAAACCAAAGGAATTTTAGTAAGTAAATCATAATTGTTGTTGAAGCTTTGAAATGTGAGTTAAATAAATAGACTAGTTTTTTTTTTTAATTTTTGGGTAAAAAAATAGTAGAATTTGGAATATAATTGAAGCAAGTAAACAACATATTGACCCAAATAAAACTATTTATCTTAGTGATATTTATTAAATATAAAAACTTGTCCAAATATTCATAAAAACCATTTTTATTTTATACGGCGCCTAAACTTTCCGGTTACCGCCATTTGTTGACGAAATCCTTATACAGCATCACCCAAACAGAGCCTAATAAAACTTGCCCATTATTAAAATCACACGTGTGACATTAGGGCTTATAACTGAGAATTTTTTTATTCCTGTTTGGCTTATATTCATTACTCATAAAACACAAAAAAAATAGTTTACAAAAGACAGACAGATCGCAAAAGCCATTCCTCAAATAAAATAAAACAAATAGTAAAAAAGACAGCTTTGAGTGAACACCTACAACGTCGTCTTCGTCCCACACAGGTCAATTCCTATTTCTAATGTTTCTGTTTACTTTAATTTCGTTAATTAGGGGTTTAATCATCAAAAGGGTTTCTTAATTATGTTTTAATTTTAGATTTTCATCTGTTTGTCCTTCGATCGCTTAATCTCAATTTGGGGGTTTGTTTTTACTTATTTTTAATCTTCATGATTTTAATTCTACTTTGAAATTGCTAAATTGGGGTTTTTGATATATTTAATTTGGAGCTAGTAAAGGAGGAATTGCTGACTTTAATGCTAAATTGGGGTTCTTGTTAATTCTTGGATTCTGTTAATTAAGGTTTAATTACTTTTATTTGATCTAATTGTTGAATAGTTGAATTGTAACAATGCGATCTAGGAGAATGTATATGGAATTAGGGCTTATTTGGGTGTTGGGAGTAAGTGATGTCATTTGTTTATGTTCTTTGCTGGAATTCACGAAAGTGTGGTTATTTTGATTGTTTAGGAAGTTCAATTGAAAATGGTGACCAACCACCATTATACTCGAGTCGATACGTTGGAGCTGAGGGATCTAATCTATAGGAAGATTGGGCAACAGAGAGCTGAAAAGTACTTTGATGAGCTTAGTAGATTTTTCAGTTCAAAGTTGAGCAAGGTTGACTTCGATAAGTCGTGCATTCGAACTATTGGGAGAGAGAATATTCACCTACATAATCGTCTCCTTCTATCCATAGTGAAAAATGCCTCTTTGGGTAAGGTTCCACCACCAAGGCCTAAAAAAGCTGAAGAATCTCTCAGCATTAAAGTTGGGAACGGTTACCAAAGAAGTTGTCTACAATCGCTCTATGGTGATGCATTTCCCTCATCACCTCGCAAAACCAGGTCTCCAGTTAGTAGGGACAGAAGGTTGCGGGACCGTCCAAGTCCTCTTGGACCACTTGGGAAAAGTCCTGTTACGTGTGAAGAAGCAGCACCTAGGGTACAAGAACAGCAAAGTGCCACAGAATTGCATTCCCTTGGTAGCAGACCTCCAGTTGAAGTTGCATCTGTAGAAGATGGGGAAGAAGTCGAACAATTTGTTGGAAGTCCAGGAATTCAAAGCAGAAGCCTTGTCACTGCCCCTCTTGGAATTTCTGTGAATGTAGGTGGTGCTCGAAAAACTCTCCATAGTGGATCTGTGTACAACTTTCGTCTGGAGACTTGTCAAAGCAGTAGAGAATTGCCTGAGAGTAGATCGCTAAGAAGCCGTTTGGAGCAGAAGTTAGAGTCGGAGGGGCTTGGCATATCATTGGACTGTGCTAACCTGCTAAATAATAGCTTAGATGCATTTTTGAAAAGGCTGATTGAACCTTGCATAGGACTGGCTGGATCTCGACATACAAATGAACGTGTCAGATATCGTAATGGTCAAATACTCCCTGGATGGTATGGACAATTTCCTGGAAATTATACAAAAAGACAAACAAGATCCTCATATGGTAGGATGTTGGATTTCCGAGTGGCAGTGGAGACTAATCCTCATATACTTGGGGGAGATTGGTCCACTCTACTTGAGAAGGTCTGTGCTTCTGCTTCTGAATAAACAGCTCTTTGTCATCAATCTTATTACCAGATGGATAAGTGGAAATTTCAGGCTTTTGTGTCTGATTTGAATGATGAGGTTCTTGACATGATTTCTGACAGAATGAAGTATCTATGAGAATTGCCAATGGAACAAGCATGTGAATATTGTGGGAAGCTGTCGGATGTGTGTTGTGAGTTTGTATTCTAGGAGAATTGGTCCCTTGGAAGGGTCAGGGTTACATAGATTATGGATAGATATTGTTTACAAGCACTTGCTCTTATGTCATTTTTCATTTTACAGATGAGGTTTCTATGAAATATTTTCATGAAATAAATCATTTAGTTCCATGCAGCTGTGTACTATTGTAAAACTGAGAAGTTAACAAGTGAATCAATTTCTAACCATTACTGAGTGTTTTCAGCTCCCAAAAATTTCCAATTTCCTGTCTCTTCAACGATCCACTTTTGCAACATAGAGGCAACAATTATATTTCCTATGTCAAGTGAAATGGACATTTTATTTTTTCTTCCTGGGTTGAAGTGTCAAGTGCATTCCTCCTTTAGAGACGAATATAGTGAGATATGCACTTCCTGGTAGCTTCAAGCTTCAGGTGACATATGCTTTCATTATTGGATGCAAAATGTGACATCCTGGTTCAAAGATTGGTTGCTTTTGGCAGTCTTCTATCTCTAGCATATCTTACATTGTTTTTTTTTTTTTTTTGGTTGTTTTCTTGTTAGTGCACTTCTATGTGTTGGTGGGGCTTTTTCTCTTTGCTTTTAATCCTTCCTTTCCAGTCTATCCAAATGATAATGTACTTTAAATGTTTGAGGTTGAGGCTGCCCAAATTTATTGAGGTTGGTCTGAGGTAATGTGATGCCTAATGGGTGGTTTCAGTCCTTCAAGTTATGTATATGCTTCCAACATTGACTGCAAAAGGTTACATCATGGACCAAAGGTTGGTAGCTTTGAGCGTCTTTGGTCTCTAGCATATTAAACATTGTTACTCTTCCTTTGTTTCTTCCTTGTTAGTGCAATTCTGCATGTTGGCAGGTTTTGTCTGATCACTTCGTCATCCTTTCTTTCTAGTCTATCCAAATGACAATGCTCTTTAAAAGTTTGAGGTTGAGGTATGCACTTCTTGCCCTTAAATTGCTGAGTTTGAACTGACTTTATCAAATGAGATGCCTGATTGGCAGCTTCAAGCCTTCAAATGATATACAATTCTAGTACTTGCACCAAAGGTAACATCACAGTTCAGTAATTGGTTGCTTCTGGCACTCTTCTGTCTCTAGTATAGCATACATTGTTATTCTTCCTTGTTTCTGGCACTGTTTGTAAACTTCTGCATGTTGGATGGGCTTATTTCTCTTTGCCATGCTTTTTTCTAGTTCATCCAAATGAGAAAACCCTTTAAATGTTTGAGGTTGAGGCATGCTCTTCTTGTCATTAAATTATTGAGGCTGATCTGAAGTTTGTCCAATTCCAACCCTGATTGGCACCTTCAACCCCTCAGTTGATATATGCTTCCAGCTTTGGCTGCAAAAGGTAACATCTCAGTTTAAAAGTTGGTTGCCGTTGGCAGTCTTCACTCTCTAGCATACTGTGCATTGTTACACTTGGTTATTTGCTTGTTAGTGCAGGTAAAGGCTTTTTCTGTATGTTAATGATGCTCTTTTCTCTGACTTGCGCTTGCCATCCCTTCTCTATCCAATATGCAGTTTGCATTTTAATTTTTTTCTCAATCTTTTAAATATATATTCTTGAAATATGGAGATTTCATTGTCTCAGCTAGTTCTCCTTACCAAGTAACACATGAGATAGGGCAAAGGACATTTGAATCATTTGGATTGATTTTTGTTACTGATTCATTTGAATTTTAATTAACCAATATTTTTCATACACAATATTTGTATATAGTACATTTTGTTATACAATGTTTGAAAGGGACCAAAATAAATTATGTTACTATTTTTCAGTGATTATTTGGGGAAGCTGAATATTGTGAAACTTTGCATCATTGAAGGATTGACATTTAATTACTTGCCAGAAAAGAAGCAGAACACAGCAACAAGGTTGGATAGAATGAAGATATACATAGAGGTCTGTTTGTGTTTAATTTAGTTACTTGATTTTCAGTACTTCATATGTAGTAAGCTTTATAACCAGAATCAGTGTGGTTAATATTTTTTTAGAAAGATCATTTTTAGCAAATGCTATCATTTTGGTGGTACCGAATAATTTTCAATGATCTAATATTTACTTTTCTAAATAAGCAGAATCAAGAACGGTTTGGCCCTTGACATCATCCTACAGTATAGTGTCCTTCATTGTTCTTTTTCAGTGTTGTTAATTTTGCACCATTTCTCTTTTTAGTTGTCATGACTCATGCCTGCTTTCTTTCGGTATTTTATCTTTTAAAGCTACTTTGCTATGCATTACTTGAGCCGTGGGTCTTTCGGAAATAGCATCTCTACCTCCACAAGGTAGGGGTAGCGTTTGCGTACATTCTACCCTCCCCAAACCCGACCTTGTGGGATTACACTGGGTATGTTGTTGTTAAGTACTTAAGTTTGCACCATTCTTTATTATTATTATTATTTTTTTGTTTCTCAAATATTTACATATAGTATTTGCCTATGTTTTCGACCATAGTATGTAGCACTTCTCTACACTAACATGCTCTCAATGTTAATTGTACACAAATTCTAACAGCCTTGCTGTAGCTTCAGAATTCTACACGCGAACTTTACAATGTAAGCACATTCAATAGCAGACATGCTTTTCCAATTCTGTCTCTTAATAGTTCCACATCTGAAGATGAATTTCATGGTCTATGTTTTGAGCACCGTCTAATAGCTCATCTTATGTGTGTGTAGGACTAGAGAGGTAAAAACTAACAAGGAGGGTCACTATGCATAAGCAGTGAGCGTGGAGGCTTGGCTGAAAATGTAGTGATATGGCTCAGTTGAATCTGCAGAGAAGAGGTTTTACTTAATGCAATGCAACAGATATTAACCTTTGTCCCAGCAACTCGGGGAACATCAACCATCTCTGTTTGCATAGCCCAATGCACATACCAACTGAACTGAACTGACGGATATGATAATATTCCCGAAGGCCAAACTATACAACTATGTGGCACATGCGCTGATGCAACTGTATGCATGAACTGTACTGATTGGGGTCACAGAATGATTTAAGGTGTTTGTAACCCCATTTGTATATAATTGATGTAAATTGAACGCCGTAAGAGCATTGCTGAACTTGTATCATTGTCTCCTTGAGCTACAGGCTTTAGCTCCTCAATTATTGCAATAGATGTCTTTGTTTCTTTGATTTCAAATGAATACTGGGAGAACTCTGATCATCGTGAGGGATGATATTACATAACTTGGTTTGTTATTATCAACGGCTCATTAATGCTTCCTACGAGTTGTATAAGTCAAGTAGTTCAGCAGATAAGCAGAAACAACAGTAGAGAAAGAAGAAGATGGTTGTAAAGCATTAATACAATTCTCAGATGAATATACCAAAAATAATCTTTTGATTCATGAGACAAATTGATTGAGATCTCGAATAAATACATGTTACAAATTATTACAACAAAAGAACAAACAGCAAGCAAAGTCCATCATTTTCGAAAGCATACAAACAAATTTTGGCAGAGGAAATAGAAATGCTCCAAATAGGAGGATGAAAATGAGTTATAAAGTCAGAGAAATGGTGGAAAAATATTGAAATGAAGGATTTGAATACTAGTTATAGGTTGGTGGGGGAGATGGTGATGGAGGTGGAGGTGAAGCATAGGTGGTTGATGGCTCGTACTCCGTAGGTGGTGGAGGTGAGGCATAGGTGGGTGCTTGTTCTTCGTAGTTCGTTGGTGGTGGAGGTGAAGCATAGGTGGTTGATGGCTCGTACTTCGTAGGTGGTGGAGGTGAGTAGTATGATGGTGGTTGTTCATAGGTCTTTGGCGGAGGTGGTGGAGATTCATAGTAGGGTGGAGGTGGAGACTTATAATTAGTTGGTGATTCCTCGTAATATTTTGGTGGTGGAGGTGGAGGTGATTTGTAGTATGAAGGTGATTTTTCATAATAAGCTGGTGGTGGTGGAGATTTGTAGTAAACTGGTGACTTGTAATATTTCGTTGGTGATGGTGAGTTGTAGTATTTAGGAGTTGGGGACTTGTAGTAGTGCTTTGAAGGAGTTGGGGACTTGTAATAGTACTTTACCGGCGCTGGTGACTTGTAGTAATGCTTTGAAGGAGTTGGTGACTTGTAGTACTTTACTGGCGATGGTGACTTATAGTAGTACTTTGAAGGAGTTGGGGACTTGTAGTAGTGCTTAACCGGCGATGGTGATTTGTAGTAGTACTTTACTGGCGATGGCGACTTGTAGTAATGCTTTGATGGAACTGGGTACTTGTAGTGATGCTTCGAAGGAGTATGTGACTTGTAATACTTCTTAGCAATTGGCGACTTGTAGTAATGCTTTGAAGGAGTAGGCGATTTGTAATATTTTGCTGGCGATGGAGACTTGTAGTAGTTGTGCTTGGAAGGTACAGGTGCTTTGTAGTATTTGTGTGATGGTGAATATTCAACAGGTTTCTTGTAGTAAGGAGTAGGCACATTATACTTAGATGGAGATGGTGATTTGTAGTACTTGTTAGAGCTGTAAGAAGGTGAGGGAGAAGTATAACCATAGGAGTAATCAGCAAAAACAGTGCTGGCTGCTAAGCAAATTGCCAAAGCAGCTGCAAGTAGGGGCAATTGCCCCAGCTTCCCTAAGCTTCTCATTTTGATATGCAAACCAAAGCTATACTTAGAGAAGAGATAGAGAGAACTAGAAACTTGTCTTGCATATTTGAGAAGGAGCTCTGGTTTTTATACAGCAATGTGACATCTTTCTTGTTGACATTTGGTGTAATGGGTTCATGGTTACCCACTAATATGAGAGCAAAGTCCAAATAAAGACTCGGTCAGCACAGAGTGGGAGGCACCCTCTTGGTGACATAAAATAAAGTACAATTTAAAAAAAAATATTAACATAAGAACAAAGAGGAATATCACAAAGTAGTTAAAGATTTGACAATTTTTAAACAATAAACAGAAGAGAGAATGAAAACTTTACTCACTTTAACGTTAAGAATAAACCGAGTTTAATGAGTTGAGAATGAGGATACAAATGCAAAATCTTCAAAATTAGAACTATGCCTGCTCTATATTGTCGGATATTGCTCTTTTGTGAAAGCTGATAGTGTAATGCGCGATTTCTGTAACTAGAACTAGGATATACAAAAAGAACCATGATGGTCCGAGCAACTCTTAAGTAACACATTCAACGGTCTCTGTGCTTCTGCTCCACCACACTAACATGTTACCGCGATGAAAATGACTCCAAAGTCATGCCTCCATCCAGATTGTTTGCAAGAAGAATATATGAATTGTTAGCAGAGAAGACATCATACATGCTTGGTATAGAATCACACCATTGAGACTTTTTGTTGGCTTGCCACATAAGTCAGGTATACATTCCATACGTATGAAAATGTATTGCTCACAAGCGGCTGTCAATGTAGTAATAAACATCTAGTTAGTCACTTTCTCAAATACATGTATATATTGGGAGTTGAGGGATCTGAACCTTAGTTTTGCCTTTGGCATAGACCGAGGCTACAGGACCCAGAGGCAGATGGAATGGAATGTATAATCAATTGGTTAAAATGAACCAACATTTTTTTACTCTGAGCATATATGTATATTTGAAAAATTACTAAAATAGGAGTAACAAATATTAAAATCTGAATGCACAATTGCAGAAGAGCACTGGGTTCAGTGACGATAACACAAAGTTTGAACCCATCAAATTTTAAATCCTGGATTAGTCTTTGAGGAGCAGAAAAAGACATCCTAAATTGTGTAAAGTAACCTTAGAAGTCGATGAGACCTTGAGCATACCTGTAAATGAACAGGAACAAACTTGAATGTAATGAAATCACATATTGGCCAGTACATAAGACCACTGACAATGGTGGGAACCAAGTCGCGCTTGAGTCGCGCAACAATCTCTGAACTACTTTCACCTAAGGTAGCAACCAATACAAGGATTAGTGATACAAGCATCCAAAGTTAATGCCTATTGTAATTCAGAAAATAAAATTCTCAAGAGTTTGAATAGATCTTAAAAACTGTTGCAAGTTCATTCCATATAATAAAGAAGTTCGCAACACAATCAAATTCAAACTCAGCAAGCATGGTAGAAAGCTACTAAGGACTAATAAAAAACAAAAGAATAAAAAGGGGAAAGGAGCTAATGCACTTCCTAATGCAGCTTGCAAATGAACTGACTGAGATTCTTATTTTGTGTCCAATTTTATCAACTAGATGTTCCTTTTCTAATCTTAAATTTCTTTTTCTAGTTTTTGTTGAAAATGGGGAAAAAAGTGATATAGGGTTTAAGCACTATCCCTCAAACCCGAGGTTTTGAGTCAGTTTTCACCTTCACCCCTTTCTCCCTCTCATGTCACACCCTATGCCCTCCTCTCAGGGACACATGCACAAAAAGAACAGGTTCTATCTCGAAGATGATAATTACCCGAGGTCTAGATTCCTCCACAAATATTTTACTTTGTTAACGACAGTAAGAGTACAGCCTATTAGTAAATTTAACAAGAGCAACACAGAATTTCTAAAACAGGACTCAGCTTTACCTTGTGCTACAGCATTCATGGAGAAGAAAACAGAGTTAATTGCAGGACCATAAACTGTTTGTCCCAAAGCTATTTTTTTAAATGTTGTTATGACATCACGCTTTGGAAAGCACGTTGACAGGAAATTGAACCAGAAATGTAGTGAAGGTCCAACAATAAGCGCTCCATAACCAGCCATCCGCAATGTTCGTGTGAGATCATACTGCTCCAACAATGACCCAGCAATTGTCTGCAGAGCAGAGAGTGCAAAGAAAAGGGGGAAAATATTAGAAACAGGCAAATAATTTATTCCACAGGTGAACCAGAAGAAAAAGCTACACTAAAAGAGGGAATGATAAATAAGATTGGAGAAACACAAATTACATAATTATATGTTGAGCAAAATGTAAGAGAACTAACAGACTTTGACTATCTAAAGTGTTATTGAACAAGATTTACAGGTATTATTTCTACACCATACAGTAGAAAGGAACTTAACAGAACTAGAAATTTCAAGTCAGTCAATGCTATGAGTAATAGAACATTAAAGCATCTTGAACAACTACTAACTACGAACCAATCAGAAAGGGACGTTTAAGATCAGAATAGAAACAAAGATAGTTAATCACTTAATCCTACTTGAAGAGGACGATTTTTTTTTTTGATAAGATAAGTGGTATTAATAACAGCATCGGGAAGATGCAAAATTTACAAGATATGGCATTTGAACTTACAAAAAAATCTCTTGCTAACTATACAAACTATCTAAGCCAGAGCTAATGAGTTAGTAAAATCCTGAAGTTGTTCTGCATTAACAGCAGGATACAAGTTGGTCCAACTAAACAAATTTTCAGTGCACCTAGTCTTCAAAATGCCTAAAGCAGTTGACTCTCCAACTTACAAAAAGCAGTTGAAAAGGACGATTTTAACTTGAGCTTTGTTATTATCAAACCATCATTAATTAAAATAAGATTACATTAATCCTCGATCTTCATCTTATATTGATCGTTTTCCTTAAGTTTGTTCTTCTATATCTCAACTTGCAATTTTTCAAATAACAAAGAAGCAATATCACTCTTTGTCAATTTGCACTAGTTTCTAAGAATTAACAATCCTTTTCACTTCATTATTATTTGGTGGAATCCAGTCTAGTGTAGTCTAAGGCAACATCAACCATCCCAAGTCTTTAAGATGCAAACAATTTGAATTACCAATAATGGTCATGATGTGAAAGAAATTGGTGCAACTCCCAACTGTCATTCAGTTTTCAGCCAGAAAATACTCATGGAAAGAAGGACCAGAGTAAGATATGGCAACTATGTGAAGATAATTGTGGAACTCGTGGATTAAATGACTGAATGTGGTTGAATTGGTCCATGATTATCTGTTAAAAGACAGGGGATTATAGGCAGATCCCATACCCTACTAGTGCAAATGAACTTGGATGAAATTCTAGCTTGCTTGGAAGTATGTGAAGATGAAAATAAGGAATGACGTGTTATGAAGTACTTCTCTAGATATAAAGCTAAGAAGGTTGCGTTACGTGGAGAATGATTGGTCAGTGGAAATAACCAGGTTAAGTGTTATGCAAGAAGGGGAACTCACACTCAACTCAATCCAATAAATGTGTTCTAAGGCACCTCTTTCTAATAATAATCTTCGTACTTGGCCAGGCAACTCATCGAGAGTCTTGGCTGTGGTCCACAGGTCAAGATGGGGTGTGATTTCATTCTCGTAACTAGATGAGCACACTGCAAGACCAGACAAGTTGCCCCCTCGCCACACAGCATATGTTATTTGAGTCAAGTCATTTCCTAAGGCAGCTCCTGTTATTCTTCAACAATCCATGTTGCAGTGGCACCTCACGAACTTATTCAACAAGTCATATTCTTATAGATGCCTTCATCACTTGGATCCACTGTGGAGGCAGGCACAAATTAAAGGACAAACAGGAGGAATAGTGTTCAGTGTGTAGTTTGAAACTCTGGATGAAGATGATTCATAAGCCAGCCTAACTTTGAATTTTACATGCGCTAAGTCGAGTGGATTTAGGGGAGACTATAACAGATGTTGGGAAGGTACAGAACCTAAAAGGATACTTACTAGGAAATAAATGTCAAGTTTGTTCTGAACTTTATAGGTGGAAGATTTTATAAAGAAATGGATAGGCTGCTATATCAAACTACTCTCCTGAATCAAAGAAGTGCATTAACATTTGAAAAGCAGAAGAGACATTTAAGAGTAGTAGGGAAAAGTTATTACTCATAGGTTGGGTTTAAGGTCACTTATTCCAAACCTAATAATAAGAGCAAATCATGGGGAACTTGGTGTTGTCTAGCTTTTGTTATTTTGTTGTAGTTACATTTCTTTTTTCAGGTCTACGAACACTCCACCCTCCCCATACCCCCACTTGTGGGATTACACGGTGTATGTTGTTAACAATGGTATGCCCTATTTCAGCTCTATGTTTAATCAGGGCGGGGCGAAAAAGTATCCCGAGGAGGAAAGAACATTTGTCTTGTTTGATTAAGAAGTTTAAAAACAAAGAATACAACAACTACTTCATAATCTCTGCAAGTGAAACCCTTAAACTTTGCCTTTTTTCAGCCCAAATTAAAGAACAGGGTGCGTTACTCTATACTCTTCAAACCACAGAAGGCAATATACAGCACGCATGATTATGTAACCTAACAATGAATTTTTCAACTAAGTAACTTTCAAGAATCTGAAGAAAAGTACCTGTGAGGAAAAATCAGCGGCAGTAAGAATAAGGCCACAAGTGATGCTCTTGGTGATAATGGGTCGAGAGTTGAGTTTCTCTAAGTACCAACCCACTAACCCAAATTTTGAAGCAGAAGACGAAACCCCTGAAAAGAAAGCAAGAAAACTGGGATTTGACAACTCAAATTCCTTAGTTTTCCTGTAAAAAGAATGAGGTAATCGTGAATAAACTTTAGAATGTTGAAGTTGGTTCTTGATATTCCAAGATTCAATGGAGGGTCTTCTTCTACATAGATGGTGCAATGAATGGTGGGCTTTGGAACCATTTCTGAGGAAAAAAGCACACATCTTTTGTATCTGTAGAGAAACCCCAGGTGTATATTGATGGCAGAAGAGGAGGGAGTTAATATGGAAAAGGGTCTCTCCTCCT